TTCTTCTTAATGAATAGTATAGGAGCACCCCAAGGAGAAGTATTAGGTCTTGTAAAACCTTTTCCAATCAACTCCACCAATTGCTTATTTAACTCAGCCATTTCTGAAGTCGCCATACGATAAGGGGCTCTAGAGATAGGTTAAACTCCCTGTTTCAACTCGATAGGAAAATATATATCTCTTAGATGAGGTATTCCATGTAGATCTTCCAGAAAAACATCAGAAAAATCTTTAACAAACGGTATATCTTTCAGTCTACTTGATGTTTCTGGTCCATTTAACTCTATTATCGCCAAATACGCATCACTCCCTTGTTGAATTAGCCAGTTTACCCGCACTGCTGAAATAAAAGCAAACTTGAAATTTTTCTTGCACCCTCAAACTCTAGTACCAAGGATCTCTCTTGTTCAAAACGAACCCTACCTCTCTTACAATCCAGGTGAGCTCGATGACTTGCTAACCAATCCATACCCAAAATCACATCGTATTCCTTAATTGGTACCGTTATCAGATCAACAGGTAAGCCATGTATACCAATCATGACCGATACATCACGAAGCATTCCTTTCGATTCCAATTCCTCTCCACTAAGAGTATGAACCAATATTCTACCACTATTAATATTAGGGGCAATCTTCATACGATCTATATGTATAGTTGTTCACCTATAGTACTCAACGTATCTATGATTGTTGTCGTTTCTTCTACATCTTGTTCCTCTGTTCCTAGTGCATACACTTTAGACTTCACCACGTATCTCTTGGAAGATGGTAGTTGTGGTGGTGGTCTTGGTTCAATCCTTTTAAATATTCCCTTTTCAACTCAGGATAAATGTTCCTACTATGTTAAACTTTTCTACAATGGTAATAAATGAGGTTGAGTAACCTACATTCATCCAAATGAAACTTTTCACATAGTGAGTACATCGAGATCTCAACTACATGAGGGTGAATAAGAGCATTTCCTTTCTCTTGTCATCGTGGACAAGACATCGATGTCCCGATCTCACGTTATGTTCTCTCACTTTGACTAGCCAAAACTACTATTTCTAACATTGAATTAAATTTTTTTTTAAATTTCCAACTTTGTCTTGACAGAAAAACGAAGTCCCCTTATGAACTTCTTAATCCTTAAAGTCTCCGACTGCAATATCTCACATCTATATCTAGATAACTCATTGAATTTTCACTTATTCTTTCACCGAGCGATGTCCTTGTTGGATGTGAATAAGTCACATTGTCATCTTCTTGTATGCTATAACTGACTAATACTTCTTTCATAAGACATATCTCCCCTCCTTTAGGAATTGGACGTCCTCGTCCACGACCATGTCATCCTCGTTCACGTTATGACAAAAATCTATTAGAATGGTTGTATTACCATGAACTAAGTCTTTACTGTAAGACTAATGATTATGCTTAAAGTTCCATGAAAAGTATGGGCTCTGATACCATCTGTAACGACCCAAAATCCGGTATTTCGGATTCGTTGAATCGTCACTTAGGTTTTAAAAAGAAAGATTTGGTTTATTCTTAAATCAAATAATAACATCTCAAAATCGACAGCGGAAGTCTCAATAATGAAATTCTAGCATAAGTCTAAAAATGCTGAACTCATAAAAATAAAAATCTAAAGTATCGTGTCTCTTGCAATTACCAAGTCTACCACTTGATCTGCTTCACCTTTCACCTGTGGGGAAAAAGGAAGGGGTGAGCTATGCGAATAGCTCACTGAAGTTGCAAGACTATAAACCTCGTCTCCGTACCCAACATAGACAATCAAATAGAAAACAAATTCAATCAACATTCAACTCAAACAAAACTCAATCTATTGATTCACGTTCTTCTCCTAACTTTTCTTTTATTCGATTCTTTAAAACGAGTCCAGACTCTAGGACCATTCAGTATTCCTCAGACTTAGCTCAAAACTCTTTTATAAAACAAAACCAAAAATATGGTTATAACCCTCTACGGATCGCCGCCGTAGTCGGGGTTACCAAAACATAACCAATAGTAATAACCTTCTACGGATCGCCGCCGTAGTCGGGGTTACCACTCCACATGGATCACTGCCATATCCGGGTCATTAGGCCATCACATACGGATCGTCGTTGTACCATGGCCTCAAAACTCAACCAATAGCAATAACCCTCTACGGATCACCACCGTAGTCGGGTTATCACTCCACATGGATCGTTGCCATGCCTGGGTTGTTATCATACCATCACATACGGATCGCCACCATACCATGGTCTCAAAACTCACTTTTAAAATATTTTTAGCACAGTCCGAGGTCACATCCTAGTCCCTAACTCAATTCTTTACTTCTATCATCTTTCCAAACATCATACCAAAATTTAATTAATATAAAAAATTCAACTCATTCTAACGGTCTAATAATATATTAAGAAACGTCATCACATAACATGTACGTCATAAACCATAATCACTCAACAGAAATTTATCAATCATCAATCATCATTCATTATTCATCATTCATCGATTATCAATCATTAATCATCATTCATCAATCATCAATCAACATACATCATAAATCTGCAAGAAATTTAAGGCGTCTATTCTAAAGTCCTAACCGCGTGATATCTACGTTCCCTATCATCATGTCTAAGCGAATAGAAGAAAGAGGAGTTCTGTCGAGTTCCCTCGCCTCGATATAAAACGACGAATCTATAAATATCCACTCTAATCATTGAGCTCGGGTTCAATCTTAAGATTTTCTCCATCTACAATTAATTAATAATCAATAATTTCTAAACATCTCGATTTTCATAAAATAGATCTCTAATTTGGGATCATGGGATTGAAAGATCTAATTTGTCACCGGAAAATTTTTCGAAAACAATGTAGAGAAAATCATTGCAGCGAAAGAAGAAAGAAAAAATAATAATAGTAGTAAAATAAGAAAATAATGAGAAAGAGTGAGATACCAGTGATGAAACGCCGTGACGATGGGATCGGTCGACGAAAACGATGGTGAAAGTGAAAAATTAATAATAATTATATGAGAGAGAAGAAATATTAGAAAGAAAAAAGAAGAACAAAAAGAATAAAAGAAAATGAGAGAGAAAGGGGGAGATAAGAAGACAAACTAAAAGAGAGAGGTGTGAGATGGAGAAAAGTGAGAGAGGAGAGAGAGAGAGATTGTACCTGAGAGAGAAATGGAGTGAATGAGAGAGAGAGCATAGGGAGAGGTGCGGTAGGGAGAGAAAGAAGAAATAGAAAAGAAGAAAACCCTAAAAAAAATTGCATATCATCCTCATTTTTTTATAATTTTAAAATTTACCCTAAACTTTTATTTTATTTTAGTTAGCCCTCACAAAAATAACATTTTTTCCCAAACTATTTAATTTTATCAACTAACATCTGATTAAATTTTTGAAAAAATATCTGTACATTATAGTAGTGAATTCTAGATTTTTGAAAATTTTAATATATGAGTTTTAGATTCATTTGATATGTAATATAAAGGGCTAATCGCATATAAATATCTGAACTTTTATAAAATTTCCAAATAAATACATGAACTATAAAATTCCCAAATCAATACTTGAACTTTTCAAAACTTCCATATAGATACCCAAACTTTTAAAAAACTTCCAAATACAATAATTTTTGTTGACGACGTTAATCGACGAAGTGATCGGATTCCGTAATAAATTAAACGATGTTTATGGAATTTGGTTGTATTTGAAAGTTTTTTAAAAGTTTGGGTATTTATATGAAAGTTTTGAAAAGTTCATGTATTGATTTGGGAGTTTTATAGTTCAGGTATTTATTTGAGAATTTTGTAAAAGTTCAGGTATTTATATGCGATTATCCTTAATATAAATGGCTTGAATTTTTTTTATTTTACTTTTTATTGTTTTCAATATATATGCAAAATATTATTCGCATTTTGTCTGTATCTTCGTTAAACCTCATTTTGTATGGAACTCAGTAGCTTGCAGTCGCGGATGAGAATGGGTAGACTGCAGTAAAAAAGTTTTTGCAAATATTCTTCACGTTTGGTCAGACTACATAGAACACGTTTTGTGGGTTATTGAAACTAAGTGAGTGTTTTTTATCATTATTTGAGTAACCTTACATTTGGTATCGTGTATCATATACTATAAAATGTTATGTGTACACTTGATATTCATTTACTAAACATAGAAGATAAGTTGAAATAAACTGAGATTATAAATATTGAAAATTGATTGTAATTTAACTAAAAACTTTTGTAAGTAGGATATAATATTATTTAATTTAAATTTTATCATATAAACTTTCAAACCGCAGTTAACCATTACAAAAAAAAACAGTAGTTAAAATAAATATCAAGTAATCTAAATTCAACAACACATTAAGACCTCAAAACATCAACCGAATTTGAAATAGGACCAGAGATACATGAATCAAGTGATACAAACTCGACTTAATATTTTACCCTAATTGTTTTTAGAAGAAAAAATCCATGGAGAGAAATGTGAACTATAAACGCAATGTTCGTAATTCACATTTCTCTTTCACGTTTATTCATCTTATCATGTAGGAACAAAGTTCCACTTCTATCATTAGGATTCAACTTTGTTTGTAAGAAAAATTCTTCAATTACTAAATCGAAAACTCGCTGACTAAATATGAAATAGATCTGACAAAAACTGTATAAATTGTTAAGGTTTTACTGAGAAGTAATGTGAAATGCCAGTTTGATCAGGTAAGGTTACTAAGTTTCACTGGTTTTTAATTTTGAAGGTCTTTCAACGACTTATCGAACCGAAATGTATAATAAACGAATTTAAAAAAAATAAAGTTTAGGGGGTCAAGTGATAAAATTAAAAAGTTCTAGAAAAATCTGTTATTTCGTAGAGGGCCTTTTAGTACGAAATAAAAGTTTGGGCAGAATTTGTAAATTTTAGAAAATATAGGACTGGACTGTAATTTCGCTAGGGTTTCTTCTTCTTCTTCCTTCTCCTCCTTCCATGGCCGAACCAAAAAGCTCCCAAACAAGATTTTTGCTCCGATTTGAGCCCTTGGACATCTTTGAACGCCGATCACCATCCTATTGCCACCGCCCCATCACCGTTGGTTCGTTTCCATGCTACTTTCTTATCTCTTTCGTCGTTTTTCTTTCACCTCCATTGTCAATGAACTTTATAGATTTCCGGTGAACGGAAACTCGGTTTTAGGCGAGACTTGAGGGGTTTGGAAGCTCTTGGCAAGCTGAATCTTTCTTGGGTAGTGTCGTCACCAAAAACAGTGAACCGTCACCGAAAAAATCACCGGGAAACATCGGAGAAAAATCAAGTTTTAGACAATTCTAGTTCGATTTAGACCAAAATAACTTTGGATTTGGATTCCTGGAGTGATTTTACATGAGATACAGAAAAATTAGATGATTCCGGGATATATGACCGATGCCGGCCACCGGCCGCCGACCACCGGCCGCCGACCACCGCCACCGACCATCGTCGCCGAAAAATTTTCCGGTGACATGGATTGAACCGTTTCAATCCCGTGATTTCAAATCCGAAATCCGTTTTATAAAATTCAAAGTATTTAAAGATATTCGAAAGATTTAAAATAAAACAGTTTAACCATAAGACTTACCATTTGATTAACGTTTTTTTTCGGTAATAAATATTTTTGAAAAATAATTTGTTGATTAAATTTACTATATGATAATTAATTATAGGTGAAGAAAATCTCGGGGTTATTGAACCCGGGATCGAGGATTAGAGCGAATCTTTCAGGGTTCATCGTTTAGACCAAGGTGAGGGAACTCGACAGAACTCCTCTTTCTTCTATTCGCTTAGACATGATGATAGGGAACGTAGATATCATGCGGTTAGGATTTTAGGATAGACGCCTTAAATTTTCTTGCGAATTTATGATGCATGTTGATTGTTGATTGATGACTGATGGGTGATGATTGATGATTGATGATGATTGATGATTGATGATTGATGAGTAATAAATGATGATTGATGATTGATAAATTTTTGTTGAGTGATTATGGCTTGTGACGTTTCTTAATGGATTTATTGGATCGTTAGAATGAGTTGAACTGTTGATACTAATTAAATTTTGGCATGATGTTCGGAAAGATAGGAGAAGTAAAGAATTGAGTTAGGGATTGTGATGTGACCTCAGACTGTGCAAAAATATTTTTAAAGTGAGTTTTGAGACCATGGTACGGCGGTGATCCGTATGTGATGGTATGATAACAACCCGGGCATGGCAGCGATCCATGTGGAGTGATAACCCCGACTATGACGGCGATCCGTAGAGGGTTATTGCTATTGGTTCAGTTTTGAGGCCATGGTACGACGGCGATCCGTATGTGATGGCATAATGACCCGGCATGGTAGCGATCCATGTGGAGTGGTAACCCCGACTACGGCGGCGATCTGTAGAGGGTTATTACTATTGGTCGTGTTTTGATAACCCCGACTACGGCGGCGATCCGTAGAGGGTTATAATGATATTTTTTTGGTTTTGTCTTATAAAAAGAGTTTTAAGCTAAGTCTGGGGGTACTGAATGGTCCTAGAGTCTGGACTTGTTTTAAAGAATCGAATAAAGAATAGTCAGTAGAAGAACGTGAATCAATAGATTGAGTTGCTTGAGTTGAATGTTGATTGAATTTGTTTTTTATTTGATTGTTTATGTTGGGTACGGAGGCGAGGTTTATAGTTTTGCAACTTCACTGAGCTATTCGCGTAGCTCACCCCTTCCTTTTTTTCACAGGTGAAAGGTGAAGCAGATCAGGTGGTAGGACTTGGTAGTTGCAAGAGACACGATGTTTTAGATTTTTATTTTTATGAGTTCAGTATTTTTAGACTTTATGTTAGAATTTCATTATTGAGACTTCCGCTGCAGATTTTGAGATGATAGTATGGTATTAAGAATAAACCGAATCTTTCTTTTTAAAACCTAAGTGACAATTCAATGGTTTCCGAAATACCGGATTTTGGGTCGTTACAGATGGTA